AGAGGGCTTATCTTCTACTGCCCATTCTCTGTACAGAGCAAATCCCTCTAGACCTGAAGCCCCTTGGAGTTGTCAAGAAACCTTTGAGATGACTCCCCACTCTGTATCTGAGCTGTCACTAGTATTCTCCACTTCTTCAGGATTGCCATGGCAACTAAATTGGTGAAAAGATTTAGGAGGCCTTTTCTCTGTTTGCAATTACTATGATCCTTTTTGGATGTGTGTTTGGGACTCTGTCAATATACCCATTGTCTAATTCTGTCCATTGTGTTTTAAAGTTTAAGATTGCAATTTCTAAGGCCAGGCGCGGTGGCTCAAGCCTGTAATCCCAGCACTTTGGGAGGCCAAGATGGACGGATCACGAGGTCAGGAGATCGAGACCATCCTGGCTAACACAGTGAAACCCCGTCTCTACTAAAAAGTACAAAAAATTAGCCGGGTGAGGTGGCGGGCGCCTGTAGTCCCAGCTACTCAGGAGGCTGAGGCAGGAGAATGGTGTGAACCCGGGAGGCGGAACTTGCAGTGAGCTGAGATCTGGCCACTGCACTCCAGCCTGGGCGACAGAGCAAGACTCCGTCTCAAAAAAAAAAAAAAAAGATTGCAATTTCTGATTACATCTGCCTTAGCCATACTGTATTATGTTTGACATTCAATATACAATGTCCTTGTTTTTCTGTATTTCTCATCTTATTCCCAGAGATGTGTCTATTTGTTCAGGATTCATTTTGCAAAGTGTTTTACTAAGCATCTACCCAAAACAGCTGAAGTCAGATTTTAGGCTATCTTACATCTAAAGTAGCACAGGCAGGAAAAACTGTTGAAGTGGAATTTTTTTCCCTGTTTGTACTGAACCGAGAAAAAGCATATAGATGATAGAGAATTCCTAATTTGGTGTCATTGGTATCTGGGTATTTGTTTTTACAGAAGACTGATTAACTATACTTATTCATTAATTTATCTTCTCATTAATAAACACTTGCTGAGTGCTTACTGTCTGCTAGGCATTAGGGAGACAAAAATGATTAAGCCAAGATTCCTTCTATCAAGGTCATGTGTTCCATTTGGGTATACTAATGCATTAGCAATGTAAATCAAGTAGTGAGAGATCATCTGTTCCTGATAGGAGATGGATTATTGGTGGGGACTTCTGTGTGTGTGTGCGTGTGTGTGTATGTGATAAAGTAAATATAGGAAATGTTAGTTATAGATTCTACATACTAGATATGGAAACATTCATTGCAAAGTTGCTTCGAGTTTTCTGTATATTTGAAAATATTCACAACATGTCAACAAAACTAGCATGATAAAGCCACTATTTGTGCTAAGACTTCAGCTTGTATTTGGATTAGGCTTATTATGTAGTAGTAGGAACATTAGAAATAATTTTTTTTTTTTTGAGACGGAGTCTCGCTCTGTCGCCCAGGCTGGAGTGCAGTGGCGAGATCTCGGCTCACTGCAAGCTCCGCCTGCCGGGTTTACGCCATTCTCCTGCCTCAGCCTCCCGAGTAGCTGGGACTACAGGCGCCCACCACCTCGCCCGGCTAGTTTTTTATATTTTTTAGTAGAGACGGAGTTTCACCGGGTTAGCCAGGATGGTCTTGATTTCCTGACCCCGTGATCCACCCGTCTCGGCCTCCCAAAGTGCTGGGATTACAGGCTTGAGCCACCGTGCCCGGCCAGAAATAATTTTAACTCATTAAATACACATGTTTTATGGGAAGGTTATATATATATTTATATGTAATGAATGTGAACAAACAAGGGTCTGCTTCCCTCCAGACCAGTTCCGGCTGCTGTGCTGCACATTTCAGGAGTCTTACTAGAATTAGCCACATTCTGCCCACTTGCCCTTCTCATATTTCACGACTCCTCCTGGTGGGGACATAAGGATACATTCAAGCTAGCCTTGAAAGATGAGAAGAATTTTTTCAAGTGGAAAAAGAGGAGTGGCAGCAAGTAAGGTAAAGGTAGAGAGTCATGGAATTCCCAGGAAATATAAAGTTGTCCTGTGTTATGGGAAAACAACTTGTGTGAGGCGTGTTGGGAGAAATGAGAGATAATTACCAGGGTGTAAAGGGCCTTTTGAATGCTATGTTTAGGAATTTGGACTTTATCCTAATAGCAATAATGACTAACAATTATATAGTGTTCAAAAAGTATAACTCAGC